AATGGTTGCAGTGGTCACCTTGTCGGTCACCTCACCCACAACTGCTGGATTTAGCGTGGTGTAGCGCAGCTGTAGCTGTAGTTGTAGTGTAGTGGTGTTGTAGTTGTGGTGTAGTGTAATTTGTGCAGTGTAGTTGCAGATGCATTTGTGGTGGTGTAATGAGTGTAGTGGAATGTAATGTAGGGTAGTGTAGTGTAGTGACGTGGAGTGTGATGTAGTGTAAAGTAGCGCAGTTGTAGTTGTAGGTGTACTTGTAGTTAGTGCGGTGTGGTGTGGTGTGGTGTGGTGTGGTTAGTGCAATGTACTTAGTGTAGTGTTGTGTTGTGTTATGTTGTGTTGTGTTGTGTACTGTGTAATGTTATGTAGTGTAGTTGCAGTTGCAGTTGCAGTTGTAGTTGTAGTTTGTGGAGTGGAGTGGAGTGGGGTGTAATTAGTGTAGCGTAGCGTGGTGTAATGTAATTTGTGTAGCGTAGTGTAATATAATTCAGTGTGGTCGTAGTTGTAGTGTAGTGTAGTGTTACCATAGTGTCGTGTAGCGTAGTGTAATGTGATTAGTGTAGTGTAATGTAGTGTAGTTGTAGTTGTAGTTGTAGTAGTTGTTGTAGTGTAATGTAGAGTGTACTGGGGTTGTGTGCAGTGTAGTGGTGGTTGTAATTCAAACTGCTACAAAACCTTCACTTTTAGCCTACTTTTAGCAAGGTGCAGGATCCCTTGCGCCTGCCATGCAAAACGACATCTGAACGTCCAAAAGTGCTCCGTACCCCTCAGTTTTTGCACTTTTGACTTCGAAATGTGTTTCGCGCCACAACGGCGTGCACTTTTTCGACATCTCAACTTCCAAAAGTGGTCCGAACATGTGGTGTTTTGGACATGTTGATTCGAAACGTGCTTCGTGCCACAACGGCGTGCAATTTTTCATCTCTCATCTGGCCAGCTGGCTTGCACCCGCCGCTTTAGCGAGCCTACTTTTCGACCCTCCGGAGCCACAATCATTGGAAAATTACAGTGCTTCGCGACTTTCCTACTTTTTCGCGCATCTGCATCTGCTTTCTCCTGACTTTCTCTTCTTTGATCTTTCTTCTTCTCTTCTCTTCTCTGACTCTTCCCATCTCTGCTTTTCATCTGCCCATATCGACGCAAGTTTGACTTCTAAACTTCTTTCGATCAAGGTTATTTTCCCGAATGCGTAGCAAGGGTTCCCGTTTCACTCTGGGGGTCTGGGTGTTGAGGGTGTGTTCGCTCGACGTTGCGTTCACGGTCGCAACCGTTCGCAACCGTCCGCAACCGTCCGCAACCGTTCGCAACCGTCCGCAACCGTCCGCGCGAGGACCGTATGGCCGTGCCTATGGGAAGTTCTGCAGAGGTGGTCATTTTTGGAGGTTTCGGACGTGTCGTTGCTTCGTTTCGCGTGGCAGGCGTGGCACTTCGTGACATTCAGACGTGTTCTGGAACGTGTCGAAAGTCGTTTTGCGTGGCAGGCGCAATACTTTTGCGACGTTTTCAGAAGATGTGTTGCAGTTTTCGTGGCAGGCGCAACACTTTGGACGTGTCTATCGTTATTTTTCGTGGCAGGCGCAGCACTTTAGACGTGTCATGTTGCGTGTTGTTTGCAAATCGCATTGGCAGGGCTGCGTCAAGTGGCGACAAGGTGCAAATTCTGTGGCAGGCGTGGCATTTTCTGCGATGCGTTGAAAATGGACGGAAGCCTCGCACGAAACATCGATTTTGGGGTTGCCAATTTTCACGTTCTAAGGAAAACTCGTAGGAAAACGTCGATTTTGAAGCTGCAAAGTGTGAAAATTGGAGGAAGTCTCGTACGAAATGCTGCACCCACGTGTCTCGTCTCGAGTCTCTGGTTTCCCTGTGGCCTCGCCGTGTCTATGGGGGAAGCTGGAAAACCATGTTTCAAACTATGAAAATTGGAGGAAGTCTCGTACGAAATGCTGATTTTTCTGCACCCACGTGTCTTGTCTCGAGTCTCTGGTTTTCCTGTGGCTTCGCCGTGTCTATGGGGGAAGCGGCAAAACATCTCCTTTTCGAAGGTTTCCAAGCAGCTTGTCATGTCGTTTTGCGTGGCAGGCGTGGCACTTTGTGACATTCCAACGTGTTTGATAACGTGTCGAAAATGTCAAAATTGGAGGAAGTCTCGTACGAAATGCTCGTTTTTCTGCATCCACGTGTCTTGTCTCGAGTCTCTGGTTTTCCTGTGGCTTCGCCGTGTCTATGGGGGAAGCCGCAAAACCTCTCCTTTTCGAAGGTTTCCAAGCAGCTTGTCATGTCGTTTTGCGTGGCAGGCGTGGCACTTTGTGACATTCCAACGTGTTTGATAACGTGTCGAAAATGTCAAAATTGGAGGAAGTCTCGTACGAAATGCTCGTTTTTCTGCATCCACGTGTCTTGTCTGTGTGTCTCGTTTTCCTGTGGCTTCGCCGTGTCTATGGGGGAAGCGGCAAAACATCTCCTTTTCGAATGTTTCCATGCAGGTTGTCATGTCGTTTTGCATGGCAGGCGTGGCACTTTGTGACATTCCAACCTGTTTGAGAACGCGACGAAAATGTTAAAATTGGATGAAGTCTCGCATGAAATGTTCGTTTTTCTGCACTTACGAGTCTCGTTTCGAGTCTTTGGTTGTCCTGTGGCGTCGCCGTGTCCATGGGGGAAATTGCAAAATGTCTCCTTTGCCAAGGTTTCAAATTTTGAATATACTAGATTGTTGGTTCAGTGAGGCTTGCGGTTTGTAAATATATGGCAAGAGTGCGATTATGTTGAAGGTGGAAAGTTGCTGTGTGGACTCATCCAGATTTCACACAGTGTTGTTTATATATTTTTGGTTCTGTGTCGGCAAACATTTCGGCTGGGCTCAATAGCAAGAGAACGTTAAGCAGTCACAGTTCATGAGGAATGTTGTTAGATCAAGGAAAATTTGCAAGATCTAGACATTTCGAATGATCGTGAGAGATATGCAAGCAAATGTCGCATGCACGGAAGTGGTGCTTATGCAGGCATGAAGGTTGATAGCGATGTTGTTGAAGATCTGTCTTTGTTTTAATATGGCGGGTCGCCGGTCCGCGCTGCAATGGCGTAAGCTTGCGCGCCAGAACTGCTTGCGAGGGCGTGCCGCGCGGTATGTTGCTGCTGCTGCGCTCTGGCTTGTCGCGGCTTGCGGCTGCTGCTTGGCGCTGCTGCTGCCGCTAACTATGCTGCTCGGTGTCCTTGCTGCGGTGCTGCTGCCGAGCTTTCTGCGCTGTGTGCAGCTGAGATATCTGCATGGTTTGCTGGGGCAAGAGGCGTTGCTTCTGGAGTTTGTGCAACGTGTGCCATACTACTGCATGATAATCGAAAACCCGAATGACATCGCAGTGCCTTGGCTTCATGTAACGCAGTGATGACTGGGCATGTTGATTCGATTGCAATTCTCCGAATGCATATGCTGCAAGGGGACTGTCTAGCGCAGTTGTGTTGGTTTTCCTTTGTGAGCAATGCTTCAGTGGTCGCTAGAGTCACGTTTCTGTGATTGCAGCCTGCGAGTGGGAGATGACGGTGGTACGATTTTGCCGCTTCTGTTGGAAAGTTTCTTTTCTTCCCTGCGTACCTGAGGTGTTATGTGGGCTGACGATTGTTTTCGCACGACTTTTGGGCTTGCATGCGGACAGCGACTGGACGTGTCAAAGATACACATTCATGTTGGTCATGATGTTTTGCAACGGAATTTTGTCGAAGATTGGTTGGACTACGTCGTGGCGGTGTCCCGTGTGGTTCTTGCTCTTGCCGTTTTCATATTATTATCCACTCTTCCCGCCAAAGAAAAAATCAGATGCGGAGAAGGCGGATATCGTTCGTGCTGAGCTCGAGCAATTTCTGGCAGAGCATGGGCAGATGCCATCGCAGCATGCTGATCTGCCAAGCAGTCGCTCTTTATATGCCAAACTGAAGAAGCTGAAGCTGCTGCATCTGTTAAAGCATGATTGGCGCCGTGGTGTTTGCGATGATACTTTGAAATTTTTTGATTTGCACGGACGCATACCTCGGAGGCAAAATATGACAACGGATGAGCAGCGAGCAGAAGATGCGCTGGCACGACGCTGGGACCGTCTTCTGGAGCAGAAAGCGTCACTTCCCAATGAATTGTGGAATGAGTATCAACGCATATTTGCTGCGGCCGATGTGGAGGTAGATGATGGCCACCTAGCTGTATGCATTGCAGTCTCTGAGTTTGTGGACAGAACCCGGCGGTTGCCGAGGCGGCAAGTGGGGGACAGTGACGAGAAGCGAGCAGAGGATGCGCTGGCTCGGCGTTGGGATCGCCTTATGGCTGAGAAGGCATCAGTGAGCGAAGAGTTGCTGTCAAGCTACAGTGGTATCTTTGGTGCGGCCGAGATGGAAGTAGATGATGGCCACATGGCTGTATGTGTTGCAGTCTCTGAGTTTTTCGACAGAACCCGGCGGTTGCCGAAGCGGCAAGTGGGGGACAGTGACGAGAAGCGAGCAGAGGATGCGCTTGCTCAGCGGTGGGATCGCCTTATGGCTGAGAAGGCATCAGTGAGCGAAGAGTTGCTGGCAAGCTACAGTGGTATCTTTGGTGCGGCCGAGATGGAAGTAGATGATGGCCACATGGCTGTATGTGTTGCAGTCTCTGAGTTTTTCGACAGAACCCGGCGGTTGCCGAGGCGGCAAGTGCTTTGCTTTAGCCGGGAACTTGTGAACTTATAAGCGACTTAAAACATAACTTATATAGAGATAAGTTAGGTTATAAGTTGATAAGTTACCTATAAGTTCATGTAAAAAAATCGAAAGTTATAAAAAGTTATATAGTTGTAAGTTAGTTAGGGTGTAGTATAAGATGGGGTCATTTGAACTTATTTGGAAGTTATGGAACTTATGTTTTTTGAGAATTTTCGAGGGTTTGAAACGACGAAGCTGTTTTTCGATGAAAAAAAAGGATGTTTCGCAACATTTGGCTCATGATATGAATGTTATCCGAACAAGAACGGTGGAGAAGCATGGAGAAGCAAATCGAAGCATCACAGCGTTTCTTGCGGGGGCTGCGCAGCCTGGCAAGTTTTGAGGAAGTGCGCTCCAGGCAGTATCGACACTTGCGGGGTGTCATTGAGAAGGCGCCGTTGGTTTCGACAGCTTGCGTGGCTGATCTTGTGTCATCTTTGGACGCTTCAGTTTGGGAGCATGCGCAGATTGAAGAGCTGAAAGCTTTGCTGGCTGATAAGTTAGGTGAAGTGGGCAAAGAACGGAGGGCCATGCAAGATTACGTATGTCTGCCCTTATACTTGGATCAGTCTGTGTGGAACATGTTGCAGACTACGTCGGAGCAAGGCGAGCGCTTCGAGCGCTTGTGTCGCCATGCCATTGCCTTGGGGATGCGATGTCCCTCGGAATATAGCATCGCAGCTTTGGTTTGGTTGGCAGCTTGTGCCTTTCGATTGCAAGACTTGACGGATGTCGAGAAGCAAAAAATGTTGCGAGATTGGAAGCCAAAATTGAAGAGGTGGCTGCAGGGGTTACAGGAGCCCGCAGCATATCTGCAAGTGCTACCTGCGGTGGTAGAAAATTACCCAGCTGCGTTGCTGGCAAAGGCGTACCCGGCAGGGTTTGTGCCCTATACTCCGCCTGGGTGGTCTTATGAGCATTATGAACAAATGGTGCGCAGGTATCCGTTGCGGCACAGAAAGAATGCAGATACTGTGCCTACTGCAACGTCTGAGGGACGTGGCTTCTTCGAGATGGGCAGATTATTGGCAGGATTTGCTGAGGCAAATGCGTTTGGCCGTCAAGGCTCTGTGGCCAGTGTCTCTTCTCATGCAAGCATCGCAGACGATGCACTGCCACGGGTGGAAGTGCAACCCAGCGCAATTGCCGCTGTGCCGCAGCCAAAAGTGGCGCCGCCATTGTTGGCGCTGGAGGATGCACCAGTTGCATCAGTGTCACACACGGTGGCTCCGGCCAGCGCGGCACAGGAGCTTGAAAAGCTCCGTGCGGAATTGCCAGGCCGTGAGGGGCCGGAAGCTTCTACAGCTGCCATGAAGCGACCGGCGGCGAGGAGGCAGGCGTCGAAGGCAAAGCCGAAGAAGAAAGCAACGGCTTGTCAGAGTGGATCTGCGGGATCCAAGCCGGGATCTGCGCGATCCCAGAAGAAAGCGGAGGAGATGAAGGGATCTGCGGGATCCGAGCCGGGATCTGCGCGATCCCAGAAGAAGGCGAAGAAGATGAAGGGATCTGCGGGATCCAAAACGGAAGCAGCCTCGACGAAGGCAGTCAAAAATAAGGTATTGAAGCGCCCGGCAGCTGCGACCGGCATGTCGGAAGGCAGCATGTCCAAAAGTGAGATTCGCGAGCGTCTGTTGGCAAAGGTGCCTCAGAAGCTTCAGAAAGCTTACAAGGACGGCTGCCACACGTGCCGCTGGCGGCCGGGTTGCTGCAATTCGTGCTGGATTAAGAGAGGCTTTTCCATGTAGGATTTCACCTGCTATTGTCTTGACACAAGACGTTACACGGGGTATAGCAATATTCGCATCTGGGGCGACAAAAAGAGACGGTGAGCTGGTCAGTGGCTGTCTGGTTGTGATCGTTGTGCTTCCAAGAAGACATTCCCCAGTTAGTCTGTTCGGGCTGCGAGTTGCATCGTGTATATGCATGTTGGTCGGTTTATACGTGAGCCCTTCGTTGCCGTTTCTTTTGGTTCAAGGGATGGGTAGTAGCTGGGCATGTGTGTAGTTGGACGGGTTTGGATTCCGCACGGGAATCAGGTGTGGATTTGTTTTCACGTGTGTTTGTGACGTATATAAGAATATACCGTGCTACCTTCATGCATGTACATAGTCATCGGATATAGATAACCCTGGTGAGGTACGGACAGCGATGCCGGGGAGGCCGGATGATGACTCGGAGGAGGAGTCAATCACGGAGGAAGAGGGACCGCCGTCCCCGCGGTATCCGGCTGCGATGCCGAAGGTTCCTCCGGCACCGCCGGCTGCGAGCCGGGCACGTGGGGCATCAGTCGCCCCGGTAGCGGTGCGAGGCAGGAGGAAAGGGGACGCGGAATCCTCGGATTCCGTTTCGGAAGCGCCTGCGCGGCGGCACGTTCCGGACCGTTTTGACTCCGACGTTTCGTCGTCGCCTCCGAAGCCAGGACCGTCGCGGCCAGCGTCTCCAGAGCGCAAGGCCTTTGGTGGCTGGTGGCGTCCCATGGGTCGCCATAAGAGCTGGGGAACCCAAGATTGCCCCATCTGTTGGAACGAGGTTGGCAATTCCAACAGTGCGTTGGATCAACATCAGCGCACCAGTCTCACCTGCTTGCAATGGCAGCGGTACAATCGTGGAGGGCTCTCCTGGAATGAGGCATTGCAGTCCGCCGTGCGCTGCAAGGCACGGCGCGAAGCACGCGCCATCGCAGCAAGTGCGAAGGTAGACGTTCCGGTGGAACATGGCAAAGGTCATCCTCGCGAGCTAGGTGAGGACCGGACGCATGAGACGGGCGAGGGGCACAAACGCCGGAAGAGGAAGTCCAAGAAGAAGAAGCGACCGGTGACTCCGAGTCCAGAGGTGGAGCGTAAGCGTCATCGGGATCATCGGCCGCCGTCGTCAGATACGGACGAGCCAAAGCGGCGGAGGGAACACAAGCGGCCGCGTCAGCTTGTGATCAACCTGCCAGATCACATCCGGCTATAGATGCGGCTGCGGGCCGCGCGGAGAGGCCGTCGCGGCCATGCATGTGGAATTGGGTGAGGCCGCGGCTCGTCACCAAGGAAAGATCTGGCTTCGTGGCCAGGGTGCAGGACGTTTAGTCTGTGACTCGAGAGGTCTCTGGACGCGTCACATGGGCGAGGGTTGGGCAGCCCGATAGGTTTGTCATTTCGAAGGGAAACCCACTCTGCATGGACATACATAAGCGACAAATTGAACGAAACGCAAAACGGTGGGGTTTCCCTTCGAACTTGTGTAGTTTCACTATTTTGCACTTGTTGCGGACTGCAACGGCTGACATACTTTGGAATGTCTAGCGCAAAAAAAAGTTGTGTCTCGCTGGATGGGTATGTGTCTCGGGTGTTCTGTGACCGCAGCCGTTTTAACACTGCAGCTCTTTTTGGTTCGCAGCACGGTAGAAAGAGAAGCGGGGAGTACCTGCAGCTGCTAGAGCACGCACTTGCGTGGTGCGATGGACGCGGCGTTTGAAAGTTGCCGCGCTGACTATGTGGTTGCCCATGATGTCTGCGAGACATTGGCAACACTGCAGCCGCAGACAGACGCCGAGAAATCGTGCGTCCTCGATATGCTGATCACTGTCTCGCACAGCCCAGGCGTCAGCGCAGAGGATCGCGACGTGTTGCACCGCTTGGCGGATCTGTTCCATGTTTCTTGGACCCGCTCCTGGGAGAGTTTGTCTCGAGGTAGCGGTCCAAGTGAGAGGAAGACGTATGTCCTGCGCTGCTATGTGCCGCCGCGTTGTCCCATGATTTGGGACGGCATGTTGGCGCAGGCGGATGTAAACGCACGCATGTGCGGAGTTGCAGCCACCGTTGCGCGGTCCGTGCAGGGCAGCTTGCCCAGGGGTGGGTTCCTGGACCGCACGCGTGGCTGGATCGACGTCGCACAAGCGTGTTTCAGCGTCACCGCGCAAAAGTTGCGCCGGGAGGAGCTTCCTGTGCAGGAGGGAGAAATGGCGTGATGGAGGGAAGGAACACCAATGAGTGCGGATGCATGCGGATGAGTGCGGTACTTTTAGGATAGTTTCTGCAGTGCATGCGGATGAGTGCGGACTTGCTGATTAGAAGGAAAAGATGATGAGTGCGGTGAGTGCGGGATCGGAAGGCCATAGATTTCGTAGCTTTTTTTGAGTGCGGATGCATGCGGGACCAGATCATAGGAAACAGTAAATGAGTGCGGATGAGTGCGGACATACATAGCACGTACCTTCCTGCTTGCATGTGTGACATATAAACCTTGCATATTTCCGCAGCTTTTTGGTTCGGCTCCTAGCGTTTCACCTCTTTCACCGGGCAAAGTGCCTGCGCGGCACCAGACGGATTGCGGCCACCTGCGAGGTGACATGGCTGTGGTCGAGGCCGACCATGCGCAGCATATCTGCAAGTGCTGCGGTTACACGTACCAGCTGACAGCTGGGCGCATCCATGGCAAGCAGTTCATGTGCCAAGGATGCAATAATATTCATAACTCCATCCGCAGGAATCTGGGCGATACGGCGGACATGTCGGCGTGGAGCCCGGAAGAGTCGCAGGGTTTTTTCAAGCGCTTGACTGATGAGAAGAAGGCAGCGGGTGGGAGCCTCGCTTGGAAAACGGTTCGAGCGGCTATGTTGAGCACGCTGACAGAGCAGCGTGTGTCTTCGTTTGCATCAAACGTGGATGCAACGGAGCTGCCGTTGTCGGTATATGTGCAACAAGGTTGGCCGGAGGAGGTGATCAAACGCTTTCCTTCGCATCTGAGCGAAGAGTATGGCGTAGATGTCTACCGGGTGCCGGTGCGCCGTCTGAAGTGGAAGGAGGAATACGCGCACATCGAGCGTAAGCTCTTGGAGAAGGAACAGCATTGTTCCCAACACAAGGTTAAGGGCTGTGACAAGTTGGATGTGCCGCAGGCTGCCAAACAGAAAGAAGAAAGTGGCAGTGACAAAGGTGCTGCCAGGAAGGAGGCTGCCGCGCTGAAGAAGATACAGACACAGAACGAACGCGTGGCGAATCTCGCTGCGCGGTCACTGGGTCCACTCAGTGGAGCTGAGTCTGGTTTGAGCAAGATTCTGGCCAAGGCAGAGAAAGCTTCAAGCCACGCTCCTGAAGCAAAGCAATTGTGTGAGGAGCAACTGGAGAAGGCGAAAGAATGGAGCTGCGCTGCTCGTGCCGCTGTGAACCAGCAGCAAGAAAATCTGACGCAGCAGGCCGCAGGAGCAGCTGTGCAGGAAATTGGTGCTCTTCCGTTCACAGGTGAAGACTTAAAGATACACTTGAAGACCACAAACGAAGCGCAGAAGGCTTTGCGCACCAGTCTTCCGCAGCCAAAGGCCAAGTCGAAAGCGGAGACAAAGCGTGCAGCTGAAGGAACAGGAGATGGAGCGGGTGCTGCTGTTGAGCCGCAGCCAAAACGCCTGCGTGGCAAGACGCCTCCAGATCCGTAGGCTCTCGCCGGTGGGATCTTTTTATAGCAGGCGGTAAGGCTTCTCTGGTTGGAGAGCACTTGCGTGGTGCTCGAACGGCCTTGGTGCGCGCATAGTACTGGGGACTATGTGCATTTTGATCCAGGATGGCGACGCGTCGCTAAAAAAAAAAGCAAGCGCAGCAGGTGGGGGGGTCATAAACGGTAATTTCCGTAGCCTGGTTGGAACCTCGGTGTTAGTGCAGACCATTTGTGAATATAACATGTGAACGAGTGTAGAAAATGTATCAAAACAATGTGATAATTTGTTCACGTCTGTTTGCCGTTGTCAATGTCTAACAGTGTGACCGGTCGGTTTCTTTCGGTTCAAGGAAAAGTAGCATGAAACGTAGAAGACTCAATCAAGCTGATGCTCCGCGAGAGCAATTTTCTGCCTTGCGGCAGATTCCAACACTGACACACGAACAGTGTCGACAAGTTGTGGCTTTATTGCATCCAGAGGATGCAGGTCGCCACACTTGTGTTCGGCCCAAGGACGTGCACCCGGAGGCGTTGCCATGTCTGCGAGACATATCTGTCGAGAGAGACGGGACGCCATTGACGGTGCATTGCATGGCACTATCTGCCTTGATAGAGGCCAAAATTAAGCTGTGTCCGCTCTTCGCAGCTTGCATGGAGCGGATGTATAAAGCCCATGGTCCAAAGCAGCCGCTAATTTTTTATGCAGATGACACCCAAGGAGGCAACACCCTTGCGGCCACTGCCACTCGCAAGAGCACGCTTATCTACGCTGCCTTTTTGAACTTTGAGTTCTTGCATCTCGAGTCTCTGTGGTTGACGCTTAGTGTCATCAAGGCCTCAGATGTCGAGACGTGTAAAGGTGGCCTTGCGTCGGTCGCAAGCGGTCTTCTCAGTTTTTATAAGCAAGAAACTGAGTGCGGGATCCCTGTGCGAATCGGGGAGCAAGGGCATGAGTTGCTGTTCATACCCCACATCCTGTGGTTGAGCGACCACGAGGGCATTCGCGCCGCCCTAGGGTGTAAGGGCAGCGCTGGGTATAAACCATGCATCAAATGCAGAAATGTAGTGGCTGCGAGCCGCGCTGCAATTTCCGCACACGTGGACATCTGCTGCATCGACGTCAATCGATTTGTCAAGCAAAGACAGGAAGATGTCGAGGACATCCTTGAGGTGCTGTCCGCACAGGGCACAAAGAAACGCAAGGAACAGGCAGAAGTTCTGCTGGGATTCAAATTGTCTTCCCTGGTGGAAAGTCCACTGGGTCAACGACAGTTGAGAACCTTCTTCCGGCTTGAGTTTGTGCAATATGATGCCATGCATCATCTCTTCAGCAATGGAATCATTGCAGAAGAACTTGGTCTCTGGTTCGCAGCGTGTCATGAGGCTGCAGGCGTGACAGCGGATCACATGCGGCGCTACGCTTGCGCGGCGTGGTGCCCTGTGAAAGGGGGGCAAGCGGAAGCTCCGCGACCAGATAGTCTCTTTGGAGATAAGCTGTGGAAGTTAACCGCAGATTTCCGAGGGGACGCGCAAGCATGCCTGCACGCATTGCCGCTGTGTGCGGCCTACGGTGAGGACATGCTGCGCGATGGCTATCCATCTTTGTCTTCAGTCTTGGATTCGTTGCAAGCACTGCATCAGGCGGCGCAATGCGTCAAAGCCTGCAAGGCCAATGCCGCGGCTTCGGGTCGCTTGCTGCCCTTGCAGCAAACGCACATGCGCCTCTTCATTACTGCGTACTCTGCCAATGCATGTCGGCCAAAGATGCATTATCAATTGCATCTGAAGGAACAAATGGATCTGTGGGGCAAATCCATCGATTGCTTTGTCTGCGAAAGAAAGCATAGGCAGTACAAGGCGATCTGCGCTGCCAAGCTGACGTGCAGTCAGCAATCATTTGCTCGCAGTGCGCTCTTGGAACTTGGCTCGCAAGAGCTATCCATGCCGCTCAGTGCGGACAAGCTTGGAACGAGCTTCGCAAGCAAAGTTTCCGTCAGTTGCGCGCTGACAAAAGTACTGAGAACAAAGGTGCCGTTCCAAGTGGCATCAGCCTTGCAGCACCGCAGCATTCCCTACGGCAAGGGTCTCTTCGTGCTGCTTTCCAATGGCTTGGGTGCAGAAATTATCTGCGCCATCCACACAGGGGAAGAATTTGCCCTATTGGTGGAAATCCTCAAGCCGCTTGGTGACCACAAAAACCCAGGAAGATCGCTCTGGAGGCGTCCTGGGCCTGGCGAGTGCAGTCGCGCGCTGCTACCGGTCACCAAGAATTTTAATTCGGATTGCACACAATTCATGTACGTGCGCCACGACAACAATACGTTGTGGCTCTTGCAGTGAGCGTCCGCGAATGTGGAGTTGAAAAGCAATCTGCGTGACAACTACGGAAACACCTGAATTACAGGAAATAAACACATGTCATTAAAAAAAACTTGCTCCAACGCCAAAAACAATGAAATCATCAAAAACAGCCAAAAAACACTACTTGGAACTTAATGAACTTAAAATGAACTTATAAGTTCGATGAAAAACACATCAAG